GAGCTGAAGATATCAGTTTTGGTTGTAAACACTGCTTTTTCCAGTATTAGTGAAACTTTAGGACACAAAAGCCTAACATTAGCTGGCATAATGTTAGCTTATAACCAGCTGCTGCCATTTGGCTGGGACAGTAGACTATTACACATAACCCAGATAGTTGACAACCGTGACAATATTGGGACTAAATAAGCATGTTTGTGTGTTAGAGCAGACTTCAGTTCAGGTAATGAGCTTTGAGGTGAAGAGGTTACAGTTTAAATGGCGATCTCTCTCAGCCACTGTATACAATATGGCAGGGCAACATGGTGGCTTCCCCAAACTGTCTAATCTTGTGCATTTCTAATAGATTAATTTTAGATTTATGAGAATGCATTAACTGTTGGAAGATGTAATTACACATTAATGTACATTTCTTAGAACAACAATTTTTTACCCCCTTTAAATAACCTTAAATTACTTTATCATACCTTTAAGTGCAAGACCCTTGCAGAGAAATGAAAGTGAAGTTCATGCACACAAATCACACTCTAAGCCCATCTTTTCAGCCACACCCTGTAGATTTGGATGCTACAGTAAAAGGGTTGATTGGAGTTTGAGATATTCACCTTCCACCAATCCAACACAAAGCTGGAGAATAAAAGTAATCTGCCTTACCAACATGTCACACAGGTGATCCGAGCCAGAGCTGAATCCACTGGTCTCCGAGTCTTCAGGACTGCTGGAGCGAGAGTCCAAAAAGGAGCACGAGTCTAGACGGTTTGCCATGCGAGCAACACCGGGAAACTTCTCCAGAAAGTCAGCCGTCATGCTCATGGAATCGGGGGGCAGGTAGCCTGGGGGCTTTCCAAGGAGGCCACTGAAGGGACTGTTCAGTAGACCCAACACTGAAAAACAATTACAATTAGTATAAAAAGAGTGCGATCTGTGCCAGTAGCCATGTAAGGTTACCCGATAACTTGTTTGCCATTTCAGCTTTTCAAGTAAACTGAAGAAAATGGGATTTGTGCCCAAAGAGCCGCATTGATTTGTCAGGAATGAAGCGACACAGCAAACTCGAGTTTAAAAAGGTGCATCTTCAAGGGCATCTTAAATTGAGTTTTGTGCTGAATCTACAGACCGACATTGATCAGAACTAAAAGGTAGCCATGTGAACTGAGGTTTCCAAAAATATTCTTGGTCAACATACCAGATGTGCAAGCTGGCTGCCAACAGAGACTTAAAGCGCAAGTTGTTGAGTCATTCAGTTGTTTTATGTTCTAACCAGAATGCTGATGAAACAATTTCTCCCCTCAGATGCTAGATGCCTTTTTATAAGTCAAATCAATTGGAAGCCAGCGTTTCTAACACAAATCCAGTAAACGCCAAGCAACAATTCCTTAAGCATTAACAAGTCGCTTGCTCTTGATGCCCAAGTGAGTCAGCTGGCAACAGTGACGGGCATGTACGGCATGGCCTGCAAGTCAACATGAGGCTCTGAAGGGGATTATTCAGAGCATTCAAAGCTTTGTCACACTTTGTTGCAGGCCCAGTTTGGAAAGCTTTAAATGAAGTTACACTGGGTTGGTGTGGACATGCAGCAAAACTATAGTGCTACAAATGGGTCAGGACAAATGGGCCATCCTTATCAGTGCTGCCAAAATGGCAAAACAGTCTTAAACAAGACATGTCTGAAAAATGTCAAAATTTACATATACTTGGCGTACATCTGTCAATCAGCTTTGACTTGGGCTGAATATGTGGGTTTACTGCAGTTTTCTGACTGACATCCCCGACTCAAGTTTGATCAACAGGTAACAAATATTTAACTTGACTCTCAGGCAACATGATGAGAGTTTGAGAAAGAAAAGTAGCTTCACTGGCTGTTCGTGTGTTTGCTAGGGATGCAGTAAAGCAAAACTGCCACATCATCCTCCGTAGTGACGCTACAGGCTGTTCCCACACCGACTGCTGTTAACCAACCATCTTATTTTAATATTAACAAGAGCTACACAATAAAAACAATCTTACTATATTCATTCCACTTTTCTCTTTAAAAGTAAGAGCCAGAAAAAACTTTGGGAAACTGGTATCCCAAAAAAAAAAGAAAAAACAACAATCCTATAACACAGTTCAAGGTCTGGCACTTACTGGAGGGTGAGCTGGTTTGAATGTGAGATGGGGAGGTGTGTGTATCTGCCTCCTGGCTGCTCCAAGGTTTGTCCCAGCCAGACAGACGGAGAGACTGAAGACCCAGGCCCAGGTCTGCGACACCCGACGGGTTCCTGGATAACGACATCTCCTGAGAGCCAGGCATGGCATCGCAGTTTGGGAAAAGCATCCTCCTGCTGCCCACTGCAGCCAGGTCCGACTCTGTGCCAAAATCCAGTTCACAGATTAAGCAAGAGCGAAAGGAGATAAGTGTTAGACAGTCACAAAGAACGTTTTTCAGCCTCCCATCGGCATCATTATACAGAAAAGATCAAAGCAAGACTTGTCAAAACCCCTTCTGGCAAAGAAACCACAATAAACTCCCTCAATAAACACATCTCCCCTACCCTGGCTGACGGCGGAGCTAACCTGCTGCCTCTGTGCCCTGTGCAACTGCCATGCATCTCCGTCCGCATCACTGACCCACCTAGCAGCATGTGACATGGCTGCTGATGCACTCGCACACCCCTGCTAATGACATCAGCTTCCCCCACCTCCCCGCTTCCTTGCCTAACAACTAATGAAAAATTCCTGTTGGAGCTATTGGCTTGTTGATAGAAGTACTCCCCTCTGGTAGGCACAGCACGTCTCCGAGTCAGTGTGAAGACAGCTGCTGCCGTTACTGCTGCTTACTCTGTGTCTAGCCTTGTTTCCCCGAGCGAGCTGACAGAGGCAGGAGGGAGGGGGGGGAGAGAGGGGCAGAGCTATAGAAGCATGGCGGGAGGCAGCATGGTAGCAAATGACTCAGCAGACTTCAACTAAAGTATTGTAGACTTGAGGATGCTCAGGGCATTTCAGTTTCAGACTGGCTTGTGAATTTATTTTAGCACACCAACACTGAACAAACGGGCAAGGAGTGTCTCGCTGTAGCTGAAGCAGCTGACTGATCAGATGTTGAGGACAGTGATTTGCACCACCAGCTCCTCCCTTCCTAGGCCTGGAAAGCTTCCAGCTGCCAGTTACACCCCTGATTCAGCAAGACTAAGCTGGAGTGGATGGGACAAAAAGAACTTCAGCTCATTGTGCATCAAGACCCAGCTTACCTTTGCTATGCAACATTTATGCTCTGCTCATGTCAAACTAAGGATTGTATTGTCATCTAAAAACAAGACCAGAAGTCACAAGAGCAGACATGCTTTAAGCAAACTGAAAGGACTCTAGCACTGTCCTGAGCCAAAATCTTGGCAAATACCACCCCTGTGGTTTAAAAAAAATAAAAAACCCACTTAGAACTACTGCAGTGCTGCAGACCAGCAATGCAGTATGAATCAGCTGCTGGCACCTGAATAAAAAGACAAGGTGAAGGCGGTTCAACAGCTTTAAAAAGTTGAAGGGGGATTTCCATTATAGGCAACGCAGGCTCTCATCTTACAGAGCACCACATTGGTTTTGCACACTACATGCATTTTCCTTCATGATTTTGTGGTTTTAAGGAAAATGCAAACTACAGCAGCAGGAGAAGCTACCACTGAAGGCAGAGGTCATGTGACCCGCTTTCTCACACTTCACTGTACACGAAACTAAGCATCAAAATTCACACAACTGAGAAATACTGGGAATTTCCAAAGAGATTCAAGCACTTTGGGACTCAAATTGTTACAGTATTGCTTATGCAATATCCCTCAATACTACAGTACCTATATTACTAATATAAAATGAAAAATAATTCTGTTGAATAGCTAAAACACTTCCTTTTCTAGCATTTGCACAAGGATTTCCTGCTTTCTGTTATAAATATCATCTCAGGCCGTTTCCTGGTCAAAAACTGCATTTAAGATGAAAACACTGGAAAGGAAACCCATTTGGGAAATTATAGTCACCAAGATTATAACATTTTTATCAAACAGTGAAAACAGCTGTTGATACCATCTGGGAGTCCAAATCAAGGCCTTCACGTTTCCCTGACTGCAAGTGACCACAATGAGCACTTGATGTGTAGGCAAATAAAGTTAGCAGAAAATGCAGTTTGACTATTAGACCTTAATAAAAGTACTACAGATTTGCGCGGACTTGCTAAATATTTAGCTATTTGAGCATTTCTAAAACGTTTTAAACCCTCATGGCTACAGCCTCGTTTTAAATAAGTTTAGGCTGCAGTAGTGTCGGATACTAATTGTTTTTCGCCTTTGCACTCAAGCCCACCCAAGTTTAACTCTTGCAGAGTGAGTGAGGAGTGAGGGTTTACCGGACATCAGGTTTGGTTTTCCCTTGGTGTTGGGTGTGGTGCACACACCGGTGAAATCCAGAGCGTTGCCCAGCATAGTGTTCATCCTGCGGAAGATGTCTGCGTTGCTGCAGGTGGACAGTGCCGGAGAATCGGTGTCTGGGCTCTCAGGCCTGCGGGCTTCGTTTCTCTGCAGAAGGAGGCCGTGAGAGGGACACAATTAACCCGGCACTCATGCTAAAAGCTAAAGGTCAACCTTGTGCACCATGCTGCAAAGTGAATTTTTGTTTGTTTGTTTTGTTCCGGGGAGGAACTAATGGGCCAAATGAGGCGGACATACGGTCAAATAATAACGTTAGACGTGGCGCAAAACTGACTTATTTCACCCATTTAATGCAGTTTCAACTCACCAGGGAAAACGCCATGATGTGGACAGACAGCCTAAAAGAAATGTCACAACAACGACCGCTGGCTGCAATAAAAGGTCATATTTATGAGGCGTGCTAACAGCTAATTAGTCATAATTTAGTGAACGTGTGCCCAGCTAATGACGGTGCTCGAGGGCCTCGTTCCGTTCACGTGCTCCACATCAAAGAGCAGGCCGCTGAAGGGAAAATCACGTGTTACTGCGGCCAATAATTTCAAGAGAGGCTTATTTAAAAATTACAGGGATATTTATCAATATTATAGCAGACAGAATATGTTTTATACGTGCAAACGTGAATTATGTCATTAAAATAAAATAAAATACGCCAATATCTAAAACCACAGTGCTCTCAGTGCTTTCTGCGATGGAATCACAGCATATAGGACAAAAAACAAAATAGTATATTACTATAATTTCAGATGGATGTGAACTACATTTTTTTCTTATAAATTAATGTAAAATTGTTTTTTTGTGCAAACTGAACTTAACTCAAATACGACTCTTCAGTTCAGAGGCATGCCTTTAAACTTTATTTATCAAGAAAGGCAAGACTTAAAAACAGTTGTGAAGACCTCTAGTAATAACCTGACTAATAATAACTACTACAAAAACAAATAAAAACAATGAAATAATTATTAAATATGTTCATAAAAACACGTTTATACAAATGTTAGACAATATAAAAACAATAACATTCCAGGGTTATTGGAGCTTTACTTTGAAAATATTCAAATCAATTGAAAGGAAACACATTGTGTGTCTCATTCTTTCTTACAAACAGCTTCATATGCTTTATCATTGTGACCCAAGTTTCAATATAGCAGATCTTAAATTCTTTCCTCTGGTATTTTACATTGTGTTGTAATCGTCCTCCGGAGGATGCAGCCTATGAATCCGGACACACCACAAATAAATAAATATTAAACTTGGAGCTGCAGCCTCCCACTCTTTTCCTTTGTATAATTATAACAAATTACCACTTAGGGACTATGCTGATGTACTCCTATTTATTAGATGACCTGACAAATCTATTGAATTTCGGTAGGGCATATGAACTGAGAGCTTTAACATTAAATCACCTGCTTAATATTGTGCTGCAAAACAGCTCTGTCATCAGTGGGATTGACATGGTATCTCTGGGGTTGTCTTTTGGTTTTTTTGAATCACAAAGGTTGGGTCCTGTGGGTTGCCTCGGTAGATGGAGTTGTTCCCTGGGGTCTCGTGCAAGCTTGTTCAGCTTGAGATTTGAGATGTTTGGAAGCTGGGTCAGCACCTGGGTCTCCTTGCTGTGTTCCTTGTGTGGTAGATGCATTGTCCTGCTGGGGGAACCCCTGCTGGTGTTGCAATATTTAGGTGGGTGGTTCGTATCTCCTTAAATTCCAAGACCCGAGGTTTTGTAGCAGAGCGTTTTATTAAAACAAGATGATTAATTTTATATGCTTTACCTGCCAGTGGTTTTAATGCTATGGCTGGTGGGTTGTCATTTCATTAAAGAAACTCTGGAGGAAGTCATTTGTTGGCATCTTGTCATTTTCAGTGAAGTGTTGCAGTATTTATTTGACACCTTTTTTCTTTTATAATTCTGGTTCCAGTGTTACATAAGTCTGCAAGAGGTTAAAAAGAGCTCAAAGATTAGTGCAGACCATCACAAACCCAGTTGCAGTTATGGGAATGAAGTGCACTTTTGCTAACCTCCGCCAGATTTCTGTAACCTTTACAACAACACAGCAACCTTGTACTCTGCACCTGCACGTTGATAATATCAGACATAAGCAAGATGCCAAAAACATTTGCTAAAATTGTTCCAAGGTCTTTTGTTTCAGTGGCCCACAGTTGGGCTTTGCTCCTTTGGCCTCTCCTCATCTGTATCAAGGTCATTTGTAGGTAGCTAAAACTAAAAAAGAAAGAACATTCTAGTTAAGTGAAATAAAACAAAATCCAGCAACAACTAGCTTTAAGAAGAAAAAGGTCTATATCACTGGGACTTAAAAATGTTTTGCTTGTAATACCTTCTATGAACTTGTTAAACCTCTTCTGTGAAAAATACCCATTTTATGTACAGAAGCTAATTAAACTTAAAGTACAAGTAAAAGTTCATCTGAAATGACAAGTTTGCCTCTGTACACTGTCAAAGTTGTTTTTAAATAAAACAAGATGCAACTGAAATTAAAAAAAATCAGCTTTTATTCAACATGTTCAGCAGAACTGTTCATAATTTTTTACACGTATCCGTTTAGAGGCTTGATTTGTACAGTCGACTCACAAGCGGTTTCAAGGCTGTGTTACTGTTATTCTAATGACAAATGAAGTTCTTTAACAAATGCAAATTAAGAATAAAAAAACTGCACTGGTGAGTAAATTTGAAATGGACCTATTTCCCTCTTAAAACTAGTTGAATAGTTTTATTACCTGCCAGAGAACAGAGTACATTAACATTAAAAATATATGTATATTTCATCGCAAATATGATTTAAAAAACACGAAACAGGATCAACTTGTGAACCTGCAGATTGTGGTTTATAAAGAGGCTTAGGTTATGATCCACTCTGTTGTGCAATGAACAGCAACTGGGTGTTTTTAGATTGAGGGATGTGACAAGTTTATATCGTACAACAATAAGAGAATAACAAAGAGTACACACGGCAGATGACCAAAATAGCATTGTAGGTAACCTGTGAAGGGATTCAAATTGTCCAATTAACTGACTCTGGCTGGCTTTTCTAATAAAATATGCTTTCTGAGACTGTAATCACAGACAAGGAACCACTACTTACTTGCACTTAAAGATGGATGATATATGCATGTATTGATTTGTGAGGGTGGAAAGTCTATGCAGCAGCAGACTTAGTCATGTGACAATATAAAAATAGAGCAAAGCACACTTAAAGTACATCAAACAGCAGTTAATACTGGAATAGAGCAGAATTATATTTGCTGTATGTCAAACTCATGATGTGCACCTGGAAATTTAACATTATGTGGTTGAAAACTATAGGAAAGAGAGAGTGCACGGGAAAAATGAGTCATTCAAAGGAGAGTTCTAATGAGAACACTGCTGGCTGAAGACGCTGCTGTGTAGACACTCTTACTTCCACGAGAGGTCTCTGTAGCTGCTGCAGGTCAGCTGCTCATGTGGGAGCTGAGCCGGCAGAGGGCAGAACAAACCTGCAGTGAGAAACAACTGGTTTTTTTTTTGGTTTTTTTTAAAACACCACTACCAAACTGGAACAAGTTAGTTTTGTTATGAGCCACGTGTGCTGTGAACACAAGAAAAACTTGTGTACTTTACGTCTTTCTACATGTTGCAGTACGTGAATACATTTCACAGAATTCTATCCGATACACAATTAGAAAAAAAAAGTCTTAAATTTATTATGTATTTACTGTGTTTCAGTTAGTACCTGTTCTCCTTTCTGCAACGCAGAGTAAGATCTGTGAAGAAACAACATTGAATCCTCTCGATGAAGGAGCAGATAGTTCAGGTTTACATTTGGCCCCAGCCGATGAAAACAGAGAAAGAGAAACTGTTCCTTTCAATCTGTAGCATCCCCATCTTAGCACTCTATTGATTTTATGTCAATCCAAATACTCTGAGATAGTGATGTTAAGTGACCCATATTTCCATGAAGGGCAAATGGCTGATTCTTGGGAGAATATTGGCTTCTTGTGAGGCATTTGTTGCTCTTTTGGGTTTTTACGTGTTTTAGAGTCACTGTCACTGTCTCTGGTTTAATTTAATTAGGTTCAGAAAATTCACAGAAATACTCAATATGATAATAATATATACATGTTTTCCAAGGTGATTAAATGACTTGCTTGATCAAGTTTTCTTTTAAAAATTCAAGTTAGAGAATTTTTAATGATCCAAACAGATCAAACCCATTTTAACCCATTATAGTGATAGTATGAATTTATTTTAGCTTTAAATGATAATGTTCTAAAGTCACCAGAGGAATTAAACTAAATATAAAATTTATAAATCAATTTCTAAAATAAAAAAAAGACTTAAATATGAATGTGGACTACCAGTCATGTATTTACACAGGGAATTTAATGTTTTTGCATATTTTTCCACACTAACATGTTTCAGATTATCAAACAAATTTTAATATTGGACTAAAACTACTGACGTAAATACGAAATGCAGATTTGAAATCATTTGAGGGGAAAAGGTTTTCCAAACTTAGCTGGGCTTACATGAAAAACCCAACAAATGGTTCTTCCACCCTTGTCAGCAAGAACTGCAGGAAAACATTTGTGATAACTGGCGATGAGTCTTTGACATCACTTGGGGAATTTTGGCCCAATTTTCTTTAGAGAATTCATTCAGACACACTGGAGGGTTTTCTATCACAAACGGCATTTCATTAGGTTCAACTCCAGACTTTGACTACGCCACACCAAAAACTTACTTTTGAACCATCCACATGTGGACCGTATGTTTTGACTCGTCGTCCTGCTGCAAATCAAGTGTGCTTGAGCTTCAATGATTGAAGCGATGGCCAGATATTCTCCTTCAGGAAGCGGCAAAGCAGCCTCAGACAGTCACACTACCACCACGTTTTTGTGATGTTTTGTAAAATATGCTAATTTTATACCAGAGCAGAACTCAAACCTTTCAAAAAGTTCAGTTCGCCAGTTTTCTTTATCCGTTGATAATTGCCCTTACCGTGGCTTATTGAGTCCCAAAGCCTACAAACTGCTTTGTAACCCTTTACAGACTGACAGGCATCAATGACTACTGGTCATTCATTTAGATCGTAGCATAATGCGTTTGTTTGCTTTAACCTGCTTCACTTTATCAGACAGGTTCCAATTTAAGGGATTTTTGATTTTTGACTTGGTTCAGAAGGTCTGGCAGTAATTTGACGTGGGTGTGGCCATTGAAAATAATAAAACAAAATCTTCATTTAACAATGGGAGTCTATCACATTTGACATGTCCAGGGAATGTTTGTAAAAGCTTTTTTCACTTAAAAATCATTTAGAAACTGCACTTTGTATTTATTAGGGTCATATTTACCTGGTATTAAATTTTCCTTTGATTGTCTGAAACATTTAGTGTGACAAATGTGCCCCCCCCAAACAAACAAAGGCCAAATACTTTTTCATGGCACTGTCGCTTAATTAGCACAATATTGTCAAATATAAATAGTTACCACCAGCACCACTTCAATTAGGCAGCTGGTCATATTGAGAAGAGTTGCTTAAGAGTCCCTGGAGGATCCATCACGGTAGGTTGAGCAGAGCATTTTAGCAGCTAATGAAGGCAGAGTGTGGAGGTCAGCTCCACATATGACGCAAACAGACATTAATGCAGTGGTGCATCACAAATGAAAAGTTCGTATGAATTATTGATGCCAACATCTGATGTTTCTTTGAGTTAGCATAGCGTTGGAGCGTTTAACTTTAGCGACCGACTTGACTCTGTGAGAAATGACAGATGTCCAGATATATGCATTCACTTTTTATTCATAAGATGGGATTATCATTTTTTACATCTTATGCACAGCAGATACAAAGACAAACAGGTTCTAAACCACAAACTAAATTCCTCCATCAGTCTAATCCTGCTTCCCATTTCAAAATGCCCCCACCCCCCCCAAAAAAGCAACCCTTTGTTTGTAGTCCAGTTTCACATTCTGACAGATCATTTTACAGCAATCTCATTTTAGCAGAATGGCACAAGCCACGTTCAGAATACTTCCATGTTTTGACAGATACCCACTTCCCCTTTAAACAAATTGCACTTTTTCTTCTTTAAAACTACTTCAACAGGATTATAGGCTCAAAAACACCAAAAACACAAGAGACGACTAAACATACAACTTATACAGGTTCATTATTTAGTTGCACAAAAATGCATAAATATACATTATGCAAAAAGTACAAAAATATTTGTACTTTCCTTTACTCAAATAATGACAAACATTGATATGATCATAAGGACTGGGATTGTCAGAACATAGGGATGCATTCACAAGGTCCATGCGAGATAAGCCATTTACACAACAGCCTAGCTTTCACAGAGGTAAGACCAAGGTTCTACAGATAAACAAAACATTTCGCTGTCTAGGCCAAGGAAAAGCGGCAACACATACACTAAGAAAATTAGGATACACAGAACTCTGCGTTCTAAATTCATGCCAAAAAGACTTTAACATGCAATCACTTATAACGCTTCTAAACCTCCCAGGAGCAGCGGTAACTCAGGGAAGGACTAGCTTAACAACAGTTGCTTCAATGCATCAATTTTCCTCAGCAATTATGAGCCATGGAGTTTGAAAAGGTTTTGCATGAGGTTTTTTTTTTTGAAGTGCTAAGATGGTACCACAATAGTTGCCAAGGATAAGCTCAGATTGTCGACAGCAAACTGGTCTTAACTCAGGCTCCCCCAGAGACAATCGGAAGGAGATATAAATACTGTTTGCTTATAGTAATGCACATTTGTCCATTAAATAAACTGATTAAATTAATGCAGAGCTTGGCAAACCTCACTTCAGCTGGACAAAGGTGTGGCTTCCAGAGGCCTGAAGAAAAAAGGGGAGGAGACAGACAAGACTATCAGTTTTAATGCCAGGTAGCTTCCCAGTTTAAAAAACCAAAATGATCTAAGACCGTGTGAGTGCTCAGACTTCCCTTTTCCATCTGTGGTGCTCAGCCCCAAAACAACTGGTTCAAATTTAAGTCAAACACCTTAACAGGACATTTAAAAAAAAAAAATGATCCAGTTACCCAAACTGCTAGACACACTGCTAGTATATCCTGTATACTCAAACAGAGGCAACTGGTGCATTTGCTGGGGACATTTCAGCTGTGGACTAATGGACATTTGATGCATTAGTAAACATTTACAGCAGAATGCAGACTGACCCCAAAAGGAGGGGAAAACAAACCCTACAGTATCTGTTCATGGTAAAGTGTCAGCCAGTCAAGAGTCCTATAATAGAAAAACTACATCACTGGTCTAAAAGTTCAGTGTGATGATAATCACCTATTCTGCAACAACGATCATACCCCTCTGCTGGAAACACCCATTCATGCACCAAATATGTTAATCCTCAGCTCAAACCCCTGCAAAGCATCTTAAAACAGATGAAAACTGCTTCAAATGGGCAAAGAAATTCATTTAAATACACAAAACTATATATAAGAAACAAAAAGCATAAGAGTTGTGTTTTAGGAAGCCATTTTACATTATAAAAAGATCAAATTTGAAGCCTTTTTATAAAAATGTACATCTTTAATGAGAACAAATAATTTGGGGCCGAGTTACAGAAAGGCTCGGGAAGTCCTGGCTACATTAACGTCTTACTGGATTTTGGCAATAGAAATCAGAATATTGCCAGCCCTGTCCTTTAACAGCTAGTCAGATATTCAGGGATATGTATTTGTGTTTTTTATTGTGCTGTGTTTACTTATAAATTATGATGTGTCATTATGCAGGTTTCAGTATGTATGACATCAGGCTAGCAGCAATAAGTGGGACGGTGACAATTCTAAAAATACTGTTTGACCAAAGGTTACTCACTAAATATCTAACAAAACTGCCGGGACTTCCATCCAGGCTGGGAAGTCTCAGAGGGAGTAGGGTACCAGCGCATCTAAAGAAACACAAACACAGTCATGTACACCAGACCAAAACCAGGCTTCAGTGCTTCAATCTACAATTCTGCAGATTAACAATTAATACTCGGAAACGATACTTTTATAGGCAGGTTTAGGAGGACCGAGTGTCCCTTTAAGCCCTAGTCACTGAAGCCATGGGAATGTGGGTCACGTAGCTGCTCATTCAGGACAAGTCCTGGAGTAATTAACAGGCATGGAAATGTGGAGAGGTGAACTTCTCCGTGTGTTAAACATTTCCACAGGGTAGGAGCTGGTATGTCTGTACCTTTCCTTACCTGTGACTAAACCTTAGAAAATGAGGCCTCCTGTTTCTACAAACTGTTATAGGCCACAACTGCACGGCCAGAATGCTCAACATAGTTCTGCAGTTATCAACACTTGTTTGGAGACATGTCGAGGATTTTTTGGTTGTGTCGTAGATAAAACAAAAAAAGCCAGGCAGTGGAAGAGCATTAGGATCGGCGGCATTTTAGGGGATCTTTCATCAGAATGCAATTAAAAGCTTTTCCCTCCTTTATGTTTCTACCCACTCAGCTTCTCTTCCAGCAGGAACATAGACAGTAAGTTGGCACCTCCAGAAAAGGCCATAAGGTCCGACAATTTCTCCAAGCAAATGCCTTACATTCCTGAGCCCTCTGTGTGTGACAAGATGGCCAAAATAATAGCTGCCTACTTTACAGTCTAGCACTCCCCTGCACTCCTATTGCACGACTGCATTAGCTGACAATGAACTTTAAATGACCCAACACGAGAAATATTTTCCATTGCTATTGTTACTAAAAGCCCTGCCTACTCCCTGGTAGCTGGCTGCACTATTGCTCTAGCAAATAGAGTGCAATTAGCTTACAGTGTAAACACTACCCATTTCTGTACAGATTCCTCATCCTCCATTCATCAGAAATAGAGTTGAGATTAAAAACCAGATTCCTTCCCCCCCCCCCAAACACCAGACTCCAGCTACAGTCTACTGTAAATGCAAAACTTGCATCAAACACACACTTTAGCCTCACATGGATGCGTTTAATATTACAGCGTTATTCCATGCTGAAAACCAAATCACAGGTTCTCATTAGCATGTGCATCTTTAACCCCCCAGCAAATACAGAATGCTATAAGTCACATCCACAAAAATGTATCTCTCGTGATCAAAAACATAAGATTTAAAGCGAGTACTGTATTTAAAGGTTGCACTCAAAATGCACAAATCTCCACTGATGCATAACCATAGATGACAACCTAAACCTTTAACAATTTAAAAATTGCCCTATGGGGGATTATCAAATATGATCCTGATCCCAGAATTTCCAATTTGAAAACATCATCTTTTTATTATAAAAAAAAGATCTTGGCTCACCGTTTAACAGGACTACAAAGTTGCACCGACAACCTCAACTCAGACTCGATACCGTCATCCTTTTAAGCAACGCATGCCGATGCTGTAACTGCATTACCTCAGAGGACCACTAGGTTTGTTTCTAGAAACTGAACCTCTGCTTTCAGCAGAACAGTTCTGGATCCTGAATCTCAAGGTCTTACATTTTTGGATCACATTTAATTTTACAGATTAAATGGACAAACTGAAATTAACACTTGTGCAAGAATCATGAATTTTAGGTTATGATAATCAGAATTGTATCAGAGTGTGGGCATTAATCTAACAGAATTCACAGATGGGGATGTTTAAAAAGAAAAGGAAAGAAAGAAACACACCGGTTGGTCCCTCACCTGGGCGTGGAGGGCTGCGGCTGCAGCGGCGGCCGCTGGGTAAGTGAAGGCTGCGTGAGGGAGGCCTGGAGTCAGCTCAGTGGTATACAGAGGGTAAGGAGTCCACGCATCCGGTGACGCTGGGATCAGTGCTGCCCCAGTCAGATCATCTGAGGAAGCACAAGGTGGAAGGAAACAGAGCTGACTGACCTACCTCTAGTGGCTTTCATCATTGCTTTATTATAATAATAATAATAATAATAATAATAATATATTTAAAAACCCAATCGACCCAATTTTTAACAGTCATTGTTCTTGAAGTAATAAAGTTTTACCTTTTAAAAAACAAAAAACAAACATTTTCTATGTGAATCAGACAAACTACAATTTGATTGCAAATTAGCTCACTTAACTTTAGCATTGGGTCAATTTGCAAAACTAATGGGAGCTCTAGTATAAAAGATCAGCATAAGATCCAGTCTGGATGCTGCAAGTGCAACAATGCAGTGTTACTGTGTAAAATGCTTGATAATGTTTTGTGAACTGATGTTTTTTTAGCCCTGTTGCTTCCCCTTCTTGCCCTTTGTGAAGAAAAAAAAAATCAGTGGGGAAAATATGATCTGAGAGGATCTTAAAAAAAAATAAAATAAAAAATAAAAAAAATTGTCAAACCCTAAAGAATCACTGAGGTGTTCAGGCAAAGAGCGCAGAGACGACTGCTGACTAAAACCTGAGGGTGGAATTTCCCAGCTGGACAGAAGCAAAGCCGCTGTCAAAAGACTTGAGATGACGCATGCATGCAGAGGTGAGTTAGTCCTTCATTTGTTAGAAGTTTAAACCTACAGGTATTTGCCTTAAAAAAATAAAATAAAATCCCACAATATCCAAAGTTTGTTTAAAGAAAAGGGCAACAAGGACAGCTATGTACTGGCATTGTCAGGGTGAGAGTGGATGAGAGCCTAGAGTGGTGCAGCGGTAAGACTTACATGGGTCCCGTGCAATGAAGTGTGCTCCTAGAGCAGGGTGGATATTTGTGGGGTTCGGTGTGGCCATCAGCTTACTCTTTGCCATCTTCGTGTTGGCTTTAGCAAACTCTAAGCGCAGGGTCTGGGGACTTTCAGGGTCAAAACGGATTCCCTGGGGGGAGAGACGGAGGGAGGGAGGGACACAGTATTGTAAGGGAGGTGGGCTCAGTTCGCGGGGCTGTAGCTCAGTCTCACATGGCGCCCTTTCCTTAAGCAGAGCTTAAATAGTCAGAACGTATCCTTCAAGCTTCCCTTGAACCAACTACTCTCACTGGGATGCTAACACACCCGCTCCAACGTCACTAAACTAAAACTACTCACAAAAAGAGATGCCAAAATAAGGGCAGATTGAAGGACACTTCTGAAATATTTCAAACACGCTTGCATCTCTTTCTCCTCATGACAAAAAACGGAGAGCGCAGGCGACCGCAGGTGATCAGTCACGTGAGCTCAGAGGAGACGGGGATGAAGAAAAGGGCCAGTGGTGAGACGTTGAGTGTTTAAGTTTGTGGTTTGACCCTGCTTGTGTTCTTGTGCCCTAAGCGTTGTGCCCACATGCAGGTGAGTAGTATTTTGGTGTATGTGTGTGTTTGTGTGTGTGACTGCTGATGTGTCTAAGAGGTGATGCTCATAAGGAATGCTAGGCTATGAGAGAGAAGTGTTAGATACTGCCAATGTGGGCTACTGAGTGACAAAAATAAGAGTTACACTACAGAAGATGTGTCCATATAAACACTACACATGTGGCTATAGAACAAGTATTACAGTAAAAGCAGTGATATGCAAAATGAGGAAAGCTACACAGGACTAAGAAGGATGTGTATCAAGGTCAAAGTAAACTACCGTAAGGCTACGGGATTCTGGCCTCTTTCCAAAAATGGCCCTGCCATTGAATTATAAAAGACAAAATGGGTTGGCTTCGAGAAATTTTTAAGAAAGGGTCCAAAAGACTTTCAAGTCCCAATCACTCTCTTAGGTTAAAGCAAAGGTTAGAACAAATCTAATTCCATTTACGATTTGTTTTATTAAATAGAGGGAAAACAGAAGACTGTAAAAACAAGCCGTTGCTTACATTTAGTGCATTTTTTGCAGCTTCAGCTCCAGACCGACTGTCAAAGGTTACAAACCCGACAGGCTGGAAGAGAAAGAAGGGAGGAAACACGCACTGTGACAACACGTGCCGACAAAGCTATAACTTGACACACACACGAGCACCATCATTTTCTTCAAATATCACACTCATTATTTTGCCGTCACAATATAATGATCCTGATGAAGTAGGAATTTCTGTGTCTTGTCGAATTAAGAAGAAAGCGAGTGCCAACACAGCCTGCAAAGTTTATTTAATATGGCATTAAAGCAATGATGAAGGCATCTCACCTGTTTTGATGTTAACTTAATCAGTGACCCTTCATAACCCTGCGGAGAAGAAAGATAGCCAATTATCCACCCTGGAGTCACATGCAGGAAGTCGAGCATGAATGTCTCACTATATGAAGAGAAGTCTGCTTTTGTGCACCTTCACTTTGAGCTCCGCAGCAGACCATCCCACACTCTGTGACAGTTTCATTTACATTTGTCACAATCAAATTACATGCACATTTCCAACAGGTGAAGCCTTCTGCAGTTTGCCTACATGTAGAATACCGAGTCAGATTTGTCTTCAAAGCTAATCAAAGGAAAACGAGGACTGTAATAGGCCAAGCATGTGCTATCAGATATGCAAGATTCTCTTTTGCATTAGTTTAATAACAGCTTGGGCATGACTTCCAAATAAAGCCAATTTAAAATAAAAAAAATAAAACAAAAACAGCACAAGGTTTAGGAATTTACTCCTGTTTTAACTAAGAAATGAAGGGGAATTTTGCCTGACTAAACTATTGATAAATGGGATCTTTCCTAAACCTGATTTACAGCTATGGAAAATTAAACAACTTTTAGTGGCTATGATAAATCTTTAGCACCAGTCCAAACCAGACTCCGTTTCAGTAATTCAGAGCAAGAAAAGAGGCAGAATAGGTGAAGTTACAGCACTTCTCTTTAGAAGCTCCAGTATAAGGACACAAAGTCTTTATTTAAATGTAGTCCTGAATGTAAGAACTGAGATCAGATTAACCCTATCAGTACACAATGAGCAGTGTTTGCCTACAGTAGATGTAAAAGGGGCCAAAACAAAGCAGTGTTACAAGTACAATCGGTGTTTCACAATGCACAAATGTTAGAGGAAATAAAAAAAAATTTCCCTACACAGTGGGCGAGCTGGGTCATGGAGAGGATTGGTTGGCCAATCGCGAGAGCTACTCATTTACACATTCCACAAGACCATCCATGTGCGAGGGATACCACTTCCAATTTGGTTAGTTAGGACAAGGGTGGGAGGGGTGTTTATGGAACTTGAGTCCCGTCAGGAAAAAAACAGCAATGGGTGAACAATAATGTGGCCTCATTTCCATATATGTAAATATCTGGACTAGAAAGAAAGGAATTGGGTGGGCTTAGTTACACTAAAAAAAAGAAGCACAGTACGGTCTGGCTGTTCATAGGCACTTGAAGAGATTCTTCACTTTTTCATGCAGGTAATCTTTATAGAAAGTGTCCACAGGTCTCTTCCAGAGCCTGGCACGCAGGAGCTACCCTTGATTTTTAAGTAGAGGGACAAATCCACATCCAATCAGCTGATATTACCCAAATGCACCAGTGCAGTTTCACGATGTGCAACACAAATTCCATCACATGTACTTAAAACTGCATTAGAAACGATAGAACTTACTTTAAAAGGTCTGAAGAGAAGGTAAAGTTCCCGTGGCTTGATATCGACCGGTAGGCCACTGACAAACAGTGTTCGTACCTGCAGACAAAAAAGAAAGGAGGGGGATCACATTAGCAAATTTTCTGTGTTTTATTAGACCACTTATCACTCAAAAGATTTATAAAAAAAACCTTGATAATTACCAAATACCAAAAGAAAGCTCAGACCGTGGAAATTTGAACAGACCTTAAACAATTATGGGTCTGCTGTTCCAGTAGCGAGAGCTTCACAGACCTTTCCTAAATTACTTCAGTGGCTAAAACGCTGAAATACTGCAGTGTAAAGTTGTACTACAAGAAAAAAACCATTTCAGTAGATGTTACTTTAGGCCAATAGCCTCAACTTCCAGTTTATCTGGCCAACAAGAGGCCTCAATTCTTCCCGACACCATTACTTTTAAATGTCACAAAGACCTACAATTATCCACTGATGAATGTGAAAGTCATTTTTGTACTGCAGTTTTCCCCTTTTATGTTAGTCTTAATCATGCTGTGACCTCTGAAAATTAACAAGTGAACCCTTGGCTGGGTCTCGAACCTCAAGTCAGGAACCGCCAGAAACCCAAACAGAGCTCCGCTTTATTTAAGGGATTACAAAATGATGAATCAGGAATAATGAGTCATCGATGAGCGAAAACTGGGAGTACAGCGTTGTTTCAGCCGTACATTTCTCCAACATGTTACACAGAAAATGGTGAACGTGAAGCTGTAGAGGATCTTAAAGGCCATGTGCCCCCCCCCAAAAGAAAGAAGCCTTGAACCTGCCTTGATCAGATACTGAAAACTAGTGCTGTGTATAATCCAGTGTGGGCAGGAAAATGAACAGGGCGGTGTGAGGACCCATTAGTTCCCAGCCGGTGGGAAGGCCCACAGTACAATGGGGCTGCCAGAGGAACAGCACTGGACAACAGTGCACAGCGTGACACCATTTCCTTCCTCTGACCCGCGGCCCCAACCCTGTCGGCCCTCCGGCATTTTTCAGGTGCCGCACAGCAGCAATTCTCAGCTCTTTACAAGTCAGCATATACAGCGACTGAAAGCTGGCCCAGCTGGACACAACTCAGTGGAGATGTTTTAATTTATCCTCCAGCTTTTCACCAACAGTGCCTCCAAGATGACAAGCATATAGAGCTGGAGCTGCAAGGAAGCCCGTGCACCCTGTGTGGCTTCTGTAAAATTCACAATAATCAGTTTTACACAGATCGATTTCCAGAAACAAGCAGAATTGTTAATGACTGACAACGAAGCTTTCAGGATTCAACAGATGACCCAAAAAAAAAAAAAAAAAAATAAGTATGAGGAAAAATTCCTAAATGTATTCTTTGCTCCTAATTATGAAGAAAAAAAATGTTAAAGGAAAATGGGCTGCAAACAAAAAAAAAAGAAAAAAAAAAGTCAAGTGGCTACTCAAGGCTTTGTTGTAAGACAATGGGAACAAAGAAGGAGGAACAAAAGGCCTGGTGCTCCCCTCAGTGTCTCGCTATAAGGAGTCATTAAAGAGGAAATATAGCTGGCCACACAGACACAAGAGTGGCTGCTGAAAATAATTTAAATTAAAACAAATTAAAGAGGACTTTGAAAATAAATACCACACTGCAACATTTTGTTTTAGGTTCCAGTTTTATGGTGACAAAAATGACAATGGCAGATTTTTGTAAGGGGGGGTGCAAAAAAGAAAAACGCTACACTATTCACTATGAATATGAATTTTACTGGCATAAATACAAATAAATGAAATGATAACAAGTTAGTTGCGCTTTCAAAGAAAAAAACATCTACAGGATATTTCGAAGACAAATTTAATTTCCAAGCCTAATTTTTTAGACAAATTGTTAGATTTGACATGCTTGCATGTCTCACAAATTCACAGAATCTCAAAGGATATGAAGAGAAAAAAAAACCCAAAACAGACGGGGTCATTTTTAACAGTCTTTGCACGCTGCTGCTAACAATCTGCAAACAGAGGTAATATTAACGTGTAAAAAGTAGGATTAGTGAAAGTTGAAGCTCACAGCAGCACGCGTTCAAGTAACAATTTGGAAAATATTAACGTGTGCGCAACTTTGTGAGGCTCCTCAGGTGGCGCGGCAATACCCCTTTAATTTTTGTTCATCATAAAGCGCTTCGGGACCGACTGGAAGAACGTAAAAGATAATTTGGGAGAAGTCTGAATGCGCGGCCGGAAACAAAGTTTTCATTAAACGTGAACGTGACCGGGTCACAGCCCTGCGCGCAGAAGAAATACAACTTTGGCTAAACTCACCTCCTCCTCGATGGAAACGTTGTTATTCGGCTCTGCGTCAGCTTTCAGACTCATGTTGACGGTCGCGTCGGCTGCTGCTGCTGCACAGAGTATCAAGTTTTTCCTCGTCGAGTGATATTTCCCCCAAGTGCGTCTGAAGCTGCAGTGAAAGTCCTGGTGGCGTTTGAACTTGAGCAGAGAAGATGTGCCGAGGTGAGTCTGTGCGGACGAGGACGGCGAAGTATCCGAGGATAGTTTAACAGCAACACTGCGAGAGAGAATCATTCATAAAAGGGAGGAGGAAAAGGAAAAAGGAAACACAGACACGCGCTAAACTAAAGGTGAGAAGGTGGATTTGTGCTCCGTGTGTGAGGGTGAGAGATGGGGGAAGAAGTGCGCGTAAAAAAACTGAAAGCCTCTGCGCTCACATCAATGCCCTCAGCTGTGGGACTGTGCGGAGGAAGAACAAGTAAACTTTTTCCTCATTGGAGCGCGTCTTTCTCCCTCCCTCCTCCTGAGCTCCCCCCTCACCCCGTCTCTCCTCCTCCTCCTGGTTTTCAATTAGGTCATCAATTATGTTGGAGTCTGCTGTGAGCCGTAATCAGGCTGCAGATCCGCCTCAGCTGTTGCAGGAAGACCCGGCCCCTGCGCCGCTACATCACCGTTTCTATGGGACCCCCTCGCAGCCAATGGTAACGACCGCAAACCCGTTAACTTTATCGAAAATGAAACTACTGTTGGTGTTGCTGGCATTAGCTATATGCTAAACTCATATGTTTGTTCTTTTTTCCTCTTTGGCCTGCAACTTCTACGACCGTTCCCAAAAAGAAAGGAAAAAAATATTTTCAGCAAATATTAAGCGCCGATTTTTACTGTAATGTTGAATTTGTAGTTATATATTTACTTAACGTGTGTTTCACGATTAAGCGAAATTCTGGTCTTTACATAATTGGATGTATAATTTTACTGCGCACTAATTTAGGAGATTATTGGCTTTTGCTCTTTTATTCACCGTTTTTTTGGTGAAGAGTAAAATACAGAACATTATACAGTAAAGTGTTTTATAAAGTGAAATTGTAATAAATACAGTGTGTACCGATGGCAGAGGCCATTTCAGATTTACTGTCAAGTATATCTTTATATGCCCTTTTTTTTTTATCCCTTGCTGACACTTTTGCTGAAGGATGAAGGTAAATGTGGTATTTCTGCTTTTCCCATTGAAAAAACATCTGAATACCCATTCCAGCACTGACTGCTGATTTTAGGAATATGACAGAATGAGGACATACAGTGAGATCTAACTCCTCTAATTTAGATCATTTTGAATATTTCTACTATATCAGAGTAAAATAACAAAACTGAACCGATGATTTATGGTTTACCTTAACCTTTAATAGCTGGTAGACAAATACTCAGAAATGTAGAACTTAAAATGTCCTCTTAAAATATATCACAAGATGCAAGCATGATACTGAACAGCCTAAAATATTTTTAAAATGTGCTAAAAAAAAGAGAGAGATGTAATTTTGCTGATTTTGTGTGAATTTGGTTAATAAACTGCAAAATAAATGAGAGAACAGGGCCTTTTTAAAATGTGATATAAATGTGCATCATAGAAATGTTGTAACCTCTACTAATCTAAACAGAATCACGTGACGACGAAGAAATAATAACTGAGTGTTAATTGTTTGGGCTCAGGTTGATGTAAGAAGGGCGTGGGTGGAGGGACGGCTTGTGTTGTGTATCGAGGCTCAGCACTGGATGCGAGCCCAGCCTACAGCGTGTTTCCTCACAACAAGTCAGCTCTCAGAGGCCAACTGGTTTCCTGACTTTGTATAGGAACACAATCAAGCCCACGGGGCGAGGAGCAGGGGGGTGGACCGACGTATTCTCACTAAAAATAGTGAAGCTGCTTTTTCAGTGTGTTTCTGCACACACTTAACCCAAGTGCTTAATACATGTACACACATATTGAAGACAAAGAAGAGTCCAGTCGCTCAATGACAGGCGAGACATTTCAACACAAGCAAGAAGGTATTCGTGCAAACCCTTAAACAACAAAAAACAATCTGTTTATCGCACTGTGATCGGTGTGCGACTGTATTTCAATGGAGGCCTAATTTTATAGCTTGCAGATTCAGTCTGAACCTTTATCCTGCACTGTACATCAGCAGCAAAGTGATTTTCTGATCAAGACACTGGGAATCGTTTCCCGTTTCCCTTCTCCTAAAATATACACATTTGCTTCTTTTTCTTTGTTTTGCATGACTTTAAATGTTTAAATATCTTTGTATTTTTCAAAAAAAAAACTTGAAGACAATTTCAAATTTTGCATATTAGCTGAACATGAGAAAATAATAATTTGTTGCTGCCCTCCATAAATTTGTGCACAAATAGGCAAACTTTAATGCTTATAAAAACTGAGAAACTCTGAATAAAGCAGCCTACGACTGTTATTATCGTAATGGTTCTGACCAGTGAAATTAAGGATTATAATCTGCTCTATAAACTGAGATAAAGATAAGTCGGGTTTTAAGGTTCTGTTCTTAGTAAGTAAATTTAGCCTTTAAGATACAACTCATGAGCTGCTTCACATCGATTAAAACCAGCAAAACAAAAAAACATACCATCAGAAGTAAAATGACACCAGGATAAATGTAAAAAATGGAATTACAATAAAATGCTACCCAGTTAATATTCTTATAACTGGACAGGTACTGGACTTACACAATTTAATGGACGTTTACATTTTACTCAAATCTCCTTCCTAAAGGATATGTTTCTCATTTTGAGACGAAGCTCCTTGCCACAGGATGTAGTTCTACAGTTTATGGAAATGGTTTAGGGAGAAACTCCTCCAGTATACATTAGATAAGGGGAAGTGACTCTTCTCTACCAGAAGCTAGCAGCTAAATTATGATTGAGTTTGGAAGATGTGAAAAAAATGACATGTATTATGTTCTGTTTGTCTCTTTAGTAACACTCGCTGCCTATGAAATGTTAACTGTGTTGCTGAATGATCATTAATTTATTCAGCGTTTTCCATTTAAAAAAAAATGAAAAACATTAAAAAAAAGAAGACGTGCGTACGTAGATAATAGAACTGATCTGCATCACATTCAGTGATCATTTTCTGATGTTCCCTTTTACAAATATCATTCATTACATCAAATTCATGTATCAATTCCATCAGTTTGCCAAACCATTTTAAAGAAATAAAAATAAATTGCTTATAAATCCGAAGCAGATGAGATAACCATTTAAAAAGAAAAAAAAGAAATAAGTCATTGAGGCTCTAAACCTTTTATATACCTACATGTCACAGCCATCTTCACTGCTAAAGATAACTTTGTGCAGATGTACCAAACAAAATATGTCTTATTTATTATATGTCTCTTCGGCTGATTTTAAAAGAACACTTGATGTTGTTTGGAGGTGCACTCATAGACCTTTGTGCATGGAGGCTTTACATAATTGAGGGCTGAGCCATTTATGGTTGAAAAGAGATGTTTAGTTTTATTCTTTGTGGATTGCTTTCATACATTTGAGTATGTTTTTTCTGAGCTGAAGAAAAATGGGAAAATCAGTCTGTTCTTCTGGACTGGATGAGTGCCGCCTGCTTTTATTGATGAATGTATTTGTCAAAAAATGTTTCCTTTCAACTAAATCAGTAGTTTCAAAGTGGTCTTTTCTGTGTAGCATGATTTGTTTTTTATTATGTCTTTGGTTCCACTCCTTGGGCTACTGTCATTTTTGATAAGCACATAGTACAATATATGAATCCAAAATATTAGATCTTGCAAATGCAACATCCTGTCTAGTGATCTTCTCAGTTTAATCATATCATATCATATCATATCATATCTATTTTATATTTCACATGTTAACAAATGTACCCTTATTTAAGCTATCTCCTGTGATATTTCAACACATTATTTAACCTCACAATCTGTCCTGATGGGGGTCCTGCATTACCATCAATAAAGTGTCTTGTTAAATTACCCTTCATTGTATCCACAAGATAATCCACACAGTTCAGGACCATTAAATCAGATTTTTCCGCCCTCTCTTTCAAACCACAAACACCTGACAGAAGCAGAGCCTGTATAGTTCAGAGGCTCTGGATAAGCCTCATGTTTTATTTGCGAAAAGCGGCCCCATTGTCCCATAAGTCACCTCGCACAGCACTCTTCTGCTTCACGCCACACTGAGCCTGTCCTAGTGCGTTAGCGTCACCCGCTGCTAAAGCACTTAGCTAGTGTTCTCCGTGTCCTCTGTGGTACAGCCAAACATCCATTTTGAGGTCCTAGGAAACTTTGAAGCTTTTTCTCCCACTCACTAAGCGAGGGAGGCGCGGGATACATTTGTGACGTTTCATGAATACTTTGTCCAATAAATAACTCCCTTCATGAATACATTAAAACCAATCAAAGGCGTGGATGTTGCTAGGCTTTCATTCTAGATCCCATATAAACTGAATTTGCTTTTATTGAAAGAGCTTTATGCCACTAAAATGTGTAGGATGCTCTTCACCAGTGATAGCACCATTTATCCATTTGGTTGCCACATTTTTCTCCTGCCTTTTTTGCTAACACTTGTCAGACATTGTCACACCTGCTGTGAGAGCCAGAGAGGACAAGAGCGGGGTGACAAAGCAGCTTCTTGTGGTGGAAATCAATCAACCCGCATATACTGCACTGTGCAGATACATGCATCAGACATACCCACACTTCTACGTAGATTCATTGGGTATAACGTTTTACTTGTTAATTTCCATTTAAAGAGTAAGCAACATTTGTTGAGTAGTGGAAACAGCGGCCTCTGTGGCTGAAAGTGTTAAATACTGGATTTTGGTTAATTTAAATCTGCTGGTCTCAAGTTAAAGTGTTAAAAGGTCGACAGTCTATCAACAACTCATGGAATCAAAAAGAAATCCTTAATTAGCACAAGTAACAGTTAATGCTTTCATATGTCACATCTTTGTTGTTGCAATATTTATAACAAACAATGTGCAAAAAAGGTGAATCATTATTATTATTATTATTATTATTATTATTATTATTATTATTATTATTATTATCATATGTATTAATGGTTGAAAGGATAGAACTAGCTACATTTGTTGAATGATTTTTAGCAAAGAACAAACACACATACACAAAAAACAACCAAAAAAGCCAACAAACAAAACAAAAACAGGAGTAATGTTTTGAGTTTTCAAGATATTATTTGTAAGTCTGGGAAATCTCAACCAACACAGACTTTTAAAGTAGCCTTTTGAGCTACTATGAAGCTGTCACCAAAAATAAGTATTACTCACTTATCCAGATCACACAGACTAGTACTGATGCTCTTTTTGGCTTAATTTTGGTCTTCACGCAAAATAATGCTGTAAAGAGATCCATTTATTCATTAGTTTGCCACTACCTTTGTGAATAGGTTTTTTT